TGGTGGCCATCACACCACAGAACTTTTACGTCCAAGTGACATTCAGTAAAGAAGACCGCTTGTCAATCGGATGTCCCGTTCCTAAGATATTAGCTTTTGAAGAGCGTCCCCACGGCCGGCCGGCCGGCCGGCCGGCCGGCCGCTCATACTCAGAATTTTCCCTTAAAGGGACCCTCCCACCTTAACATTAGATTTGAGTTGAGATAGCCAAAATGGGGTCCCTGGCTCACAATTACCGGTTTCGGCACTCACAACATCGAGAAATGCCTTAAATCGGAGATATTGAATTTCAAAATTGCAGCATTTTGATTCAGAGGGGCTAATGCTTAGGAATACCCCTCTGAATGTGTGACGTCAGCGCAGATATCTAACGATTTTTAAATGTTTGACTAAAACGTTTTGTAGCACGCGGTGGTATATGCTATTTGCGCGCAACATCTGCCGCAAACGCCGCACTTCTAAAATAAAGTCGCTAGAAACAGCGGAGATCCCAAAAAAGTAAACAAAAGTAAAAGTCTAATATCTTGAAAACCGGTGAATATTTTTCGGTGAAATTTGGTAGATATTCGTTTTCGCTCTTTCTGAACCGAGCGAAATCACTTCCATGCCAATTCATAAACTTTTTTGAAGGTGGCAGGGTCCCTTTAATTCAGTATGAGACTCCGCTCGCTTCGCTCGCTCCGTAAAGACTACGCTCGCTTCGCTCGCTCCGTAACAACTGTAGTGGGCTGACCTGCAAACAGGCGTCGGCAACAATCGCGAATGCGGCGCACATGTGACAATAAGCAAAGGTCATTATCACTGAACTCTATAATGTGGAAGGCGCATCGGCCGCCAGATGGTGTCCAACGGTGCCGCCATGTTGCGCAGACCAGGAAGCGGCCGCCGCCTGTGTTGGGAATAGGGAATTCGGGACCTCGATTTACGTTTGCGGCCGCTGCATCCGTTACGTTCAAGCTATGTAGACACGGAACCCGGCATCTTACGCAGAATTGAGTGGAGAACAAGGTGCTATCTTTAAAAATCCTCAGATATAGGTAACTTATACGTTAAACCCTTTTAAGTCAATAGAGAAATATGGAAATTGCTATTTTAGCGCCGGGAATGATCTGAAACTATATCTAGCATATGAGATCGTGATTTCATGCACTCCTTGCAAGGTCCGATGCTTCACATTTGCATTGTTTCCTTTGCGTGACGTCATTTGTGACGTCACAAGGGTCATAAACTTTTCCTCAATAGCTCCCGATCAAATTGAGCTAGCGAGTCGGGAAAGCCACAAATGGACTCAGAAAGACCTGCCGAATCGAATGATATGCAACATGACCTCACTCGACCAGCTTCGTGACCTGAGAGCTGTGACCTGACACCTGACCTTGTCACGAGGTCAATGCCTTAAAATGACCTCACCCGAACAAAAAGTGTATCACTCGACGCGCCCGAGCTAGGTGAACACGATGATGCCAAAATCGCGGCTCTGTGCGCATTTTTAGCGAAGTTATTTACCAAAAACCGAACCCGTGCCTTAGGTCACTTGACCTTGTCTCAGAGGTCACCGGTTGACCTGAGACCTTTAAAATAGATTCCTACCAGTCACTCTGCATTGTACTAGGTGCGTTCAGTAAGTAGGTTCCGGAGAGCAATTACATAAAATTCACGAGGTCTACGCACGTGATTTTTTCAGGGATTAGAATTCAGACCTTTATGTCGAAGTGACCGCATTTTCAGCTTCTTATTCCATTTCTGTGACGATATGGAGCAGATCAAATAACACCATTTTTTTAGACTGCTTTAGAAATGGCATCGGCCGCCCGAGAGGATCAACGTTCAGTGATAAGATTCCTAGCTATCCACTATCCAGGGCTAGCCGGCAGCTAACATCCACGCCAACTTCGTGAATGTGTACGGGAGCCATGCTCTTAGTGATTCCGCAGTTCGGAAACGGAAGAAAAAGTTTGGGGAGGGGAGGGAGAGCGTGCGCGACCTGGCACGTGCAGGCAGGCTGAGGACGATTGTCACAGCTACTGACGTCGCCGAAGTGGAGGAGATGGTGATGGCCAACAGAAAGATTACTGTCCAGGCGATAACAGAAAGCCTAAACATAAGCCTACACCAGGATCATTAGACCATCTTCTGCCAGTAATCGCCAGTTGCCGCCCCCGAGAAGGCCCGTGGTCGGTTCATCCTCCACCAGGATTGCGCGCCTCCTCACCGTGCCCTCGTGGCGAGGGATGCCCTGGAGGCAGAGGGCATTGAGGTGCTCTAACACCATCCCTACTCTCCAGACGTTGCACGCAGTGACTATTGGCTGTTCGCAGACATGAATAAAATCTCCGGGGCCGGAGGTTCGGCTCGCGGTCTGCACTCGGGTCTGCTTTTTACCAGTATGGCGAAAAGACCCTCACTCAAAGCTTCCGTGCGGCCATCCGGGACCTGGCCAAGCGATCGGAACGATGCGTTCGCCTGCAGGGTGAGTTCGTCGAGCCGTGAGCCATGTTTGGTTGAGAATTGAGATGTGCCAAAAAATAAACGAGTTATATCAAAACGGAACTTACTTATTGAGCATACTGGTACTCTGCCGCACACGACCACTTTACCGCTAAATTCAAGCTAAAGTAGCGGCGCATTAGCGAGGTGGGTTCAATCAACCCTCTCGGCAGGGGCAAATGAAGAAAGACAATAGTCCGGCGAGTGAATTTGAGGAATTCTTAAGATTCCATCGTGTTCCCCACTCAATTCCGCGTAAGACGCCGGGTTCTGTATCGACGTAGCTTGAACGTAACGGATGCGGCAGCCGCAAACGTAAATCGAGGTCCCGAATTCCCTATTCCTCAACACAGGCGGCGGCCGGTTCCTGGTCTGCGCAATATGGCCGCCACCGTTAGACACTACGGCCAATAGGGTTGAAGCGGCAGTGCTCCCCTGTGGTCATTATTACGGAGCGAGCGAAGCGAGCGGAGTCTTACGTAGAATAACGGAAATTTCTGAGTATGAGCGGCCGGCCTCACGATTCTGCGACGCTTATATCTCAGCAACCACCAGCAACCAGATAGGGGACGGCCACTACGAAGTAAATAAATAAATAAATAAACAACTTGACCGATTTACATGCGGTAATTTTTGTAGGGTAGCTTCATTCCTTCTACCAAGTATTGGACTATTCCCGATGCATGTGGGTGACCCCTTATCAAAACGAAGAGGTGTCACTTTTGTAATTGTTGCAATATCTCGGTAACTACTTGGCCGATTGCGCTGAAAGTTGGCATGCAGGTAGGCACCCACTAGGTAATGCATATCCATGTGCCGTAGTTGGGGTGCTGCTGCACGTGCGCACGTGCAGGGGTCTATTCCAGATCTCGAGAACAGCTGGACCGATGGCGCTCAAATTTGGTATATGGCTAGGGACCGGTTAGTAGGGTGCCGTGCAAAAGTCAGTTGGGACCCATTTTGCACGTCCCAGCAAACATGCCCACATGGGTCCCATATGGGGCCCACATGGGCCCCCCACCTCTTCCATATGGGTCCCACATGGGAATGGCAGTGGGTGACACGTGGGACCCATATGGGCCAGCCCACGTAGGCCCCATATGGGACCCACGCGGCGCCCACATGGGACCCATATGGGTAGCCCATCTGTAGCCCATGTCCCACGTGGGCCCATCTGGCCCATGTTCACCCCATATGGGACCCACATGGGATGCCCATCTCCAGCCCACATGCGTTTGGCCCATCTTGATCCCATATCGGGCCCATATGGGTAGCCCATCTGTAGCCCATGTCCCACGTGGGCCCATCTGGCCCATGTTCACCCCATATGGGACCCATGTGGGCATGTTTGCTGGGGTGCGCACGTGCAGGGTGCCACTTCCAGATCTCGAGAACGGCTGGGCCGATTGTGCTCAAATTTGGCACATCGCTAGAGACCGGTTAGTAGGGTGCCGTGCACAAGTCAGCTGGAGGTACCCCCTCGAAATTTCGCACGTGCAAGGCTCACCCTCTCGCTCGCTCCGTTTGTCGCCCCAAAAGGCGTTATACTGGTAGAGTAACGACGTACGGGAATGAGTTATCAGCTGTCTAATCGTAGACAACACAATGTCGAACTTAAACTGTAACCCTGTATTGGTATTGTTTCTTTAATTTGGCTGTCGAACATTAATTTATGGTTTGAAATGTGATTTTATGTAAAATAATTGATATGAAACAGCCGTCTCTTAATATGACCCCATTTCACCACACGCAAGTGGCAGAAATGACAATGATTAGCTGACGCATTTTTCTTGACCGAAGTCAGAGCGCGCGGCCCGACGCGCCACGCGTATTTGGAAATTCCGACCTCGACGAGCATCAGAAGCCACCTAACAGGCAGGGGCGTCGACACCGGTCCGACTTTTCCGACTAGTCGGACCACTTTTTCGACTAGGCGGTGCCCTGCTGTGGCTCGCGGGGGCCCCTGCTGCAGACCGCGGGGACCCTACTGCGGCTCGGGGGGCCCTGCTAAAGACCGCGGGGGCCCTGCTGCGCCTCTGGGGCCCTGCTAGACACCGCGGGGCCCTGCTGCGGCCCGCGGGGTCCCCTTCTACGGCCGCGGGGGGCCCCTGTTGGGGCTCTCGGGGGCCCTGCTGCGGCCACGGGGGCCCCCCGCTGCGGCTCGCGGGGGCCCTGCTGCGCCTCGCGGGGCCCTCGCGACACCTGGGGGCCCCCACCGGTGGGGGCCCCCGAGAAAAAGTCGGACCAGTTTTCCTTACGCGTCGACGCCCCTGCTAACAGGCGTGTTCAAAACCGCAGGAGATGATGATGAACGGGTTTATCGAAACTTGATTGGATGAGCCTATCGGTAACAGGTAATAGCGATTTTAGTGCGTGCATTTATTGTTCATAATGGTGTGAAATGTGGTTGGGGTACGACCGACAACCCGTCGGGGCGAATTTCGCACTGGGGTACTCAAAATTTGAAGAATTTAAGACGTTTCCATGAGTTTTGAACTTTGAAGGTATGGATAAGTTCTAAAAATCCGGTTCTCCTTATCCGGGCCATTAACTTCATATGGTCAAAGAAAATTGGCACACTACCTTTTACCTGCACCTTATCGACAAAAGCTGCGCAGAACATACGGAATGCCACGAATGCGAGTGAGTCGTAACAGCAAAAAAGAGGCAATGTCATTCAATGCCGGATACTCTTCACAAATTACAGCGCTACGACGCTGTACCAAACATCGACACTCCTTACCTCCTATGTAAAGGCGGCTACTTAAAAACACAACCACTGAATCATCCTGTGTAAATACAAACAAACCAGATGTGACGCGCGTAGCCACGACGCTCACGAACGAGAACCACATCTGTAACCCTAATACCAAACATACAACGGCGGCCGGCCATGCACTTGTTGATGTTACTTGACACGACTCAACACTGCATTTCGTCAATGAAATCATTTATCCATCGGTCATACCTACCTGTGTAATAATCAAAACTGTGTACTACCGAAAAGTGGCTTACTGTGTGTGTGTCAAACAACCGAGCCAGCAATGCGCCCGTTCATTGTGTGGGTTCGTATGTGTTTGGTGAGATGTGCCCGTTGAGGGAACAGAGCCTGGCAATGTGAGCAGCCGTACGGCCGCTCCCCCGTGTGGGTCCGCATGTGTTCGTTGAGATATGCCCGTTGAGCGAACCGTGCCGCACAGGTTGAGCAGCCGTACGGCCGCTCCCCTGTGTGAGTCCGCATGTGTCTGGTAAGGTGTGACCGGTCTGTGAACAGTGCCTTGCAGATAGAGCAGCCGTAGGGCCGCTCCCCAGTGTGGGTACGCATGTGTCTAGTGAGGGTAGACCGTTCAGTGAACCGTGCCGTGCAGATGGAGCAGCCGTAAGGACGCTCCCCAGTGTGAGTCCGCATGTGGTTGTTGAGGTTTGACCGAACAGCGAACCGTGCCGGGCAGATGGAGCAGCCGTACGACCGTTCCCCCGTGTGGGTACGCATGTGTTTTGTGAGGGTAGACCGTGCAGGGAACCGTGCCGTGCAGATGGAGCAGCCGTGCGGCCGTTCCCCCGTGTGGGTACGGATGTGTTTTGTGAGGGTAGACCGTTCAGTGAACCGTGCCGTGCAGATGGAGCAGCCGTACGGCCGCTCCCCAGTGTGAGTCCGCATGTGGTTGTTGAGTTTTGACCGCGTAGTGAACCGTGCAGTGCAGATGGAGCAGCCGTGTGGCCGCTCCCCCGTGTGGGTTCGCATGTGGGTGTTGAGAGTTGACCGTCGAGTGAACCCCGCCATACAGATGGAGCAGCCGTACGGCTGCACTCCAGTGTGAGTCAGCATGTGTGCCGTGAGGTGTGACCGTTGAGTGAACCGTGCCGTACAGATATCACAGCGGTGCGGCCGTTCCCCAGCGTGAGTCCTTTGGTGGTGTTTCATGTTTGTGAACCTGTCGGTCGAGTATTGACACTGCTCGCTCTTGAATCTCCCGTTCTTCCCGATGCGACTGTGACTTTTCTTCACGTGACCGTCCAGATTTTGTTGTCCCAGACATCGGAAGCCGCAGTGGGGACACTGGAACGAGCCACTGATACCTGAAGAATACACAAGAAGAAGAAAGGCCATTAAAAACGTTCCATGCCAAACAGGTCGCACATACACTGGAACATCTCGACGCCCAGAGGTGACCCACGCAGCGGGTCACGTTTCCAGATCACCTTGGTGAGCGCCGTGGACGGCAGCGGCAATGTTGACCTGACAAGCCATCAGCGCCCATGAGTTGATCTATTTATCGCTAGAAACACAGCCTTCAGAAACGGAGCGCTGAGCTCGTAGGGAATGCAAAGCTCCCTTGGCGTTTTTCAACTCGCGCACAGATAGGACTTAGAGCCAACTTATCTATGAAAAAGGCCTGTTTACCAACGCCAAGGAATATATTTTTTTAAATGTTAGCCACCAAGAGCCGATAAAACGCAATCAGTTATTTATCTGAGCAATGCCTGTTCGGGTGGAGTAGATGCCTACACTTCTCGTAGTAGTTCCCACCACGAACTAGGTCAAAGGGGCCCTCCCACCTTCAAAAAAGTTAATGAATTGGCATGAAGGTGATGTCGCTCGGTTCAGAAAGAGCAAAAACGAATATTTACCAAAGTTCACCGATAAAAATATTCACCGGTTTTCAAGATATTTACTTACTTTTACATTTGTTTACTTTTTGGGATCTCCGCTGTTCCTAGCGACTTTATTTGAAAGTGCGTCACTTATTGCGGGCAAAGCAGCATATACCACCGCGTGCTACCAAACGTTTTAGTAAGATTTGAAATCGTTGGATTTTCGCTGACGTCACACATTCAGAGGGGGCATTCTAATGCTTTAGCCCCTTTGAATCCAAAGTGCTGCAACTTTGAAATTAGATATTTTCGATTTGAGGCATTTATCGATGTTGTGAATGCTTGAACCAGTAGGTGAGTGCAGGCCAGAGACCCCATTTTGGCTATCTCAACTCAAAACTAATGTTAAGGTGGGATGGTAGCTTGAAATACCTACATACATGATGGAAAGGGTAGTAGCGATCATTTTCTTTATTACCTAATACGCGTTCATTCGGCCATGACAATATTTGAACTTGAAAATGTACATAAACAAAACACTGCGGCACAGTAGTGGGTAGGTATTGATCCATACACATATGTCCAGATGAAAACTCAGTAGCTACATTTTTCTATCTAGCAATACTACTTTTATTTCACCCTTTAGCGGCACATAACCCGCCAGAGGCCACAAGACCAGAAACATCCAGTCACGCTTGTAGATACAGACAGCACATATCTAGAGTAGCAGCGCTTATACAGGATCTTAAGACATGCAGCATTTAAAGTAAACGACATTCCAACATACGTTTGACCCGCAACTTGTCCACAAAAGTGCGCAGATAATACGAAATACTGCGAATACGAGAGGGAGCCGAAGCCAAAAATGAAGCATTATCTAACTCCGAAACTACTGGGCCGATCGTCAAAATTCAAACGGCGTCTGATAGCCCGGGAAAAACTGTCAATCGAAACCTAATTTTATTGACTTCGCCGATGACGTCACAGGCCAGGTCAAAGTAAAAATTAGGTATTAGCATTTTTGCTTCTTCACATTTTGGGCTCTGGACGCCGCCTTACAAGTCATATCAGGCTCATTTTTGGTTTACACACTCGTGAACATTGAACAGATGCTCTAGATATCCTGAGGGTACCAAACTTGTACTTTGATTTTCAGGTCAGGGTCAGGTCATTACAGGTCACGGAAATATTGTATAATGCGTCGGTCACGTGACACATGTTTAATGGTCCATTTAGGCCATAGATTTCGAATTTGATGTCGTCTGTGTTATTCGAGGTCATCTTGAGTCGAATTTGCTTAAGTCAGGTCACTTTCAGGTCAAAAAAGGTCAAATTTTGACGTTAAAATTTTTCAACAAAAAAGGTGTCTATTGGATGTAGTTTGAGCCCAGGAAAACGATGGTGCAATTTATATTGGTGCACGATGTCAACTGCGTACTGAAAAATTGATTTGAAAAATTCATGTGTTTTTTTGCAATAATGCGTATATCTTGGCCAGTTTGGAAGATAATTAGCTAAAACTTGCTAGAGTTAGTCAAAAGATGCGTTCAATCATATATGTTCCGTTTTTCTCGAAAAATCGAAAACTTTTTGAAAAAATATAGGAATATAAATTTTGAATTTTATCAAATGAAATTTTCGAAATTTTCGAAATTTTGAAAATCCAAAATAGCAGTTTGATAGCGCATTCTATTCTGAGTCCTTTCATGCAAAGAAACTGGATCTAGCTTAAAAACTGAGCTCGTGGGAGCGATTGCCGTGCTTCAATGTTTTGCGTCGAAATCGGCCGAACATGACATCACTCTGACGTCATTTCCTGCCGACCTATGGTAGCTACGAAGTTCATATTTTGACACAAGGTGTCAAATTGATGCAGCCGAAGGTACTGTAAGTTTGGCGTCGATACGTCAAGCGGTTTGGAAGTTATTGCAGAAAAACGGGAGGAGGGCTATGTATAGCCCCCCCCCCCCCCCCCAGTGGGGCGCGGGTTAAGGCGGCTTGTTTAAAACACAACCACTGAATCACACTGGATTAGAACAAACACCAGATATGACATGGGTAGCCCCGAAGCTCACAAACGAGAATCACAGCTATAACACCAATAACTAACGTACAACGGCGGCCGGCCATGCATTTGTCAACACGTTGCAGCATTGCATTTCGCTAATCAAAGCATTTACCACATCAAACCTGTTTAATTCTCAAAACTGTGTACCACTTAAAACCGACTTTTGTGAGTCAAACTGCCGAACCGTTAGACAGAAGTGGCAGCAGTGCGGTTGCACTTCGCATGGGTACGCATGTGTTTGGTGAGATGTGCCCGTTGAGTGAAACGGGCCTGGCAGTGTGAGCAGTCGTACGGCCGCTCCCCCGTGTGAGTCCGCATGTGTTTGATGAGACTTCCTCGTCGAGCGAACCGTGCCATGCAGATGGAGCAGCCGTTCACTCACCTGTTCACCAGACATGTGCTTGGATCCGAGAGCTGGATCTATGATCTCAGTGGATCTCTCGACAAAATAGAGGGGTTGGATCTATGATCCGAGTGGATCTCTCGACAAAATTCAGGGGTTGGATCTATGATCCGAATGGATCTCTCGACAAAATTTAGGGGTCGGATCTATGATCTCTGTGGATCCAGCGGGCAAAAATTTGTGGAGGACCTATGATCTGTATGGATCTCACGACAACATGTAGCCAATGAAACCCTTATCCTGCATAATTGTACACCTTACAGTGCAATACAATTGAGAATTATCACTTGTGGACATGGTTATTGGTTAAGACCACTTGTAATCATTAGGTATCATCATTAAATTTGAATTTAAATAAACAACATTTGTACTACATTTAAAATAAACCAAGAACATGCATATTGCTACTTTTTGTGACCAATTGTAACTTTTTCATTTCAGCACTGATGACAATCTTATCAACAACCTACAGCCACTTTAATTCAATGAACAAACAGTACAAACAGATGCAGTGGCAGCAGGGCACTGCAGATTTTCATTTCGGTCCCATTCTTTCCATGCAACGCCAGTAGGGCTAACAGAGCCTATTTTAAGGGAATTTGACTGGGGGGGGGGGGCAACCTGGAAAATTGTCTTTAATAATCCATTAACCCGCGCCGGGCCGGTGCTCTGAGATTCCGCGCCGGGCCGCGGGGGGGGGGTGTTTGAACACCCCCCCCCCCCCTTCTAACTCGGCTCCTGGGCCACGTAGCGACACGCGGTAAGCGGCAATCGAAAGAACGTCAAAAATAAGGACGAAAACACTTCGGTCATTTTTTGGGTCAGGTCAAAGGTCAGGTCACCAGAGGTCACCAAAGGTAAAATGTTGACTATTTGAACATTTTGGAGACTGCCAACGGCTATCTCGGGAACCGATAGAGCTACAGTGTCGCAAAAGAGCGCATTCGATAGCCCTTTTACAGACCTTTCTGAATAATGTTCTCAGATTTGACCTCAGGTCAACAGTTTAGCCTCCAGAGGGCAAAAACTCCAAAAATAGCCGTTTTTACGAAAAACGTTTTTTTCGGCAATAACTTTTGACTCAAAAGAGCTATGACATTACTTTTGCCAGCATCGTGTTCCTCTCGTCGAGACGCGTCGAATGAACTATAATGTGACCTTGAAAGGTCAACTTGAAAATTTGACCTAAGGTCAAGGTCATGACCTGATCGGAAAAGCTCATGTTGCATATCAGTCGATCCGCAGCGTCAAGCCGAACACATCTAAGGCGTTTTCAGCGCTCTAGCACTCCTCTATCAGAAGTTATCATCGAAAAACTGTTAGATTCTGTCCGTGACCTGAGATGACCTCGGGGACATAACGAGGGGTCACAGTTGCCATTTTCTGGTTCAGTGTGTCTATTTTACCTACATCTCGATGTTTGAGAGTGTCTAGATTAGCGTTCGTGCAAAACAGACTCTTTTCAATTTTCTCCCCTTGACTTATAATGGAGAGGCCGCAAAATTGACCTGACCTTAGGTCACCGATATCAAAATTCCGAGATATACATTTTATAGATAGTGTTGCTCTAATCAATCGCTGAAAGTTTCAAGGCAATCGTTCAGTAGGTGTAGCTATGACGAGCATTCTTATTTTTTCTGAGGTGAGGTCACTTGGCGTGACCTGGTGACCTGACCTAAGGTGACCTAGGTCTGAAATTTTCACAACATGTGCGGAAAAGATGCACGAATAGGTGTGCCAAAAACGGCGGCGCTCCGCGCCGCCGTTTTTGAGATATCTGCGAAAAACCGCAAGGGGGGGTGTTCAAACACCCCCCGGCCCGGCGCGGGTTAACCCTCGCCCGTATTGGTGTTTCCAGTAGCGAGCGTATAGGGGGGGGGGGGGGGGTCCGTTGGACCCTCCCCCTTGCCGTTTCGCCCCTGATCGAGCTAGAGCTTCGCGGAAAAAACGACCGTGTTGCCCGTGATGAAAGGAAGCCGATTATACCCAATTTTAAGGTCCTAGGTCATCGGT